CCGCTGGTGGTGCTTTGGAGGCTCTCATATCTGTGGAACAGACTCTGCGGACAGACATCGACTCTACAAATCTGCAGCACATATGGTCCGCCGAAGAGGTCACCTCCTTGATGACTCAGAGCGCCTACAATGCCACACGGGCGCTTTACCCTGGCTCTGACACAGCTATCCTCGTCAGTATCAGGATTCCCGATGCCGGCAAACAGCTCAGCGAGTGTGCCGGCGTTTGCAAAGGCATGATTGCCATGGGGGCTGTGGTTGGCTTCCTTATGATTGTTACCTTCGTGACTGTGGTAACGTGTGTATGCTGTTTCCGTCGCTCGCCGAAACCGGAAGTGAGGTCTAATGAACCTTTCCATCTAGGCATATAGCTCGCTTTTTGTTTTTATATGGATCTATGTATCACTTTTTTTTTCATCATTTGATACGTTTGTCTGTTATACAAGGTTTACTCCAAGATTTTCTTCTTTTTTTGAGCGCTACGAATCCGTGGCGTTATTTTATGGAGAATTTCTGTTCTAATATGGAAACGCTTTTTTTATAGTTGAGGGGTTCCGCCACCGCTACGGTGCTTCCCCAAAGCCGTGTGATGCTTAGCGGCGTGTCCCAACCCGTACGCCTCCTTTTCTCTTTTCTGGTCGCAATGAAGAAGCCAAAAAAGGCAAGTTTGCATTGTACCTCTGTTTAAGAGCTACAACGCGATGAAGCGCAACACAGTTTTTCTGGTTTCGGCAGTGATGATGATGATGATGGTGACCATCGTGGTCCAGGCCACGGAGGCAAAAGCAGCCGCACCAAAAGAAACGGAGACGCAAACAGACAAGGCACAAGCAACGGAAGAACAGGGCCCCACGGAGCCATTGACGTCATCATCAGCGCACCTCGTCACGTTGAGCGGGACCGCGTGGGGTGGCCTTGTGGAGAAGAACAGCGCTCTGCTCAAACTGGCTCTCATCAGCGACATTATGATGCAACTGGAGCGCAAGTACACCATCGACAACAATATCACCTTTGTGTCGCTCTCCGTTGATGATGGTCTCGAAGTTCACTTTTCCGTGGACCAGGAGGTGATTCTCAAGGGGTCCGCTGCCAAGTTGCAGTACCTATGGTCCGCTGAAGAGGTCACCTCCATGTTGGCTCAGGGCGGCTTCCCCACGACACTGTCAGTGTATCCTGGCCCTGACAAGGCAGTCCTCATCAGTGTTCGGGTCTATGGCGCTGGTGAACAGGGAAGCGAGTGTGATGGTATTTGTCAGCACGTTCAGTATTTGGCAATGGGGATCGGTGCCTCGATGGCGTTTATCTTTGTTGTTGTTGTGCTCTGGATGTGCTGTCACTGCTGCAGCCGCAAAGAGCCAGAGGGGCAGATTATATACATACGTGAAGGCTCAAAATTTTAGGTCAATTTAATCTTTTTTCCCCCTATACTGTCCTTTTTGTGTCGTGTTGGGGGGGCGCCTGTGCTTTCCTTTTTTGTGTGTGTTGGGAATTGTCAGTGATGTTTCTGTCATTTTTTTTTATATACTCTTCTACTCACTCTGATATTATATCTATCCCTGCATACGAACACACGTCTGGCTACTGCGGCGTGTGTGCATTGTTCCATAACGTCAAGAGGCAGGACGAAGAATAATCGCTAAAAGTCTTTTTCCTTTTCTATCCTGTTGCTTACGGGTAGTCTGGAATCTTTTCTTTGAATTTGCGCCTTTAATTGTATGAAGCATTTCAATACCATTGTGGATAAACATGGAAGACGTGGTGTTATTATCACTGGCTATTTTGTCCGTGCTTCATGTTGAGGGTCATGTGGATATTGTGAATGTAAGCCGTTGAATGTTCTTTTTTGTTATAACTTTGTTTGGATGCCGTTATTTGATTCTTCTTGAAGGGAACGCCGGGCAAAAGAAGGTTTATTCTTGAATGAAACAGTGGGGATATGGGTAGGTAGTTGCCCGGCCTGTGAGGGCGCTGGCCAACGTGGTGTTGGGTACTCCGTCGTTGCTTGTGGGCCCGTGCGAAGACTTCGGCGATTGTTTCACTGTCCTACAGACAACTTGGGGCGCCAAAAAAATGGGAAAAAAGATCTTGCTCTGCTTGATCTCATTGATGCCCGGAATTACGTGGTCGTTGCTCAACTCCCAAGCAATGGTTATTTTTCTTGGCACCCGTATACAGATGTGGCAGCGGCGTGGATGCAGTGCTGTCCACACTTCAGTACCATACCGAGCAGCACTCCCGTAATAATACGGAGTCCTTTTGCAATAAGTCTTGTGATCAGGCGATGTTGCACGTCGGCGGCAATGTTATAATCGATATCACAATTATTCAGCAAACTTAAAGGGGTTACGTCAGAGCAAACCGATTTTTTATACTTAACGGGATACTTCGCATGTGGAAAGCATGGCTTTTTTGTGGTACATTGTACTATTTGAACGCAGACTGTCGCCCTAGACAATGTGTAAAACAATAACAAGAGGCGAGCAATGCCCTCATAGGAATATGATGAAGGGGGGGGGTTATTTATTCTTCAAGTCGTCGCTGAGGTCGCCATGAAGGTAACGCACCCAAGTATAGAATGGGGCCGCATGAAAGGAGCAAGGTTCTCTTAACTTGGCGATATACCGGGTACACAAAGGACTTTTCCGCTATGAATCTAGATGCGATGTAGGAATTGCTTTGCTTTGCCTCCAACTAGTGTGCAGAAGTGAAGTTTGATGCCCCCTCGATGTGTGCATTGCGATGGTCAGAACATCGCACGGGATTTCGCAATTTTGGACAGGCACAGCATGTGTCTTACTCGAAAAGTATTGTTGTCCCTGGCGTGACTACATGCCTCACATTCGGTGAAGGTGCGTGTTCAATCCCACCTCCTATTTCAAAACGATGGCAAGAGACATGTTAAGAGAATCGCATCTGCTTCCTGTTTTTGATTCAGGGTGGGGATTCTGATCACACGGCAAGCGAAATGTGTCGGGAAATAAAACAGCAAAGGTTTCCACGTCTCATCCAAACGCCGGAAACATTGAATGCTCTAGAGGTATGCATTGCTGCATGTATATCCATAGAAGGGTTTTTCTAAGTCGAGTGTGCAGGGCCGCGTTTTGCTCGGGAAGCAAGGTTGTTATGAACAGACGGTAAGATGGTGAGACTTGTTGGTGAAAAACGCGTGTCGGACTTGAGATAGGAGGCATTAAAGCCTTACTTTGGGTGCTCCTGGTTTCTGCGTGTGCAATGTGATAATAATGGATTTGTGTGTCATTTTAACGAGTAGAAGAATGAAGACGGTCGTTGACGTTTTACAAAGCTTTTAATTTGGGAGGAGGGTTGTGAATGGAAGACAGGCTGGAGTTCAGGCATAGAATCGCCAAGAGACGATTTTTGAAAAGAACCTTTCCCTCAAATATCGCTTCATATGCGCCAATTTGGTACGAGGTCATGTGTTTCTTCAGAATAGGGTTTCGTGGCGTTATTTTATGGAGAATTTCTGTTCTAATATGGAAACGCTTTTTTTATAGTTGAGGGGTTCCGCCACCGCTACGGTGCTTCCNGTGGCGTTATTTTATGGAGAATTTCTGTTCTAATATGGAAACGCTTTTTTTATAGTTGAGGGGTTCCGCCACCGCTACGGTGCTTCCCCAAAGCCGTGTGATGCTTAGCAGCGTGTCCCAACCCGTACGCCTCTTTTTCTCTTTTCTGGTCGCAATGAAGAAGCCAAAAAAGGCAACTTTGCATTGTACCTCTGTTTAAGAGCTACAACGCGATGAAGCGCAACACAGTTTTTCTGGTTTCGGCAGTGGTGATGATGATAATGGCCACTTTGCCTTACGCCTCCGCGCAATCATCGTCATCGAAGCATATTGTCACGATCAGCGGCACCGCGTGGAGCACGGTGGTCCAGGGCAGCCCCACTGTTCTACAAAACGCGCTTCTCCGGGATATTGAACCTAAGCTGAACCGCCCATACTCCTTTAATACCACCATCACTGTCCCTTCGCTGGCCGCTGGTGGTGCTTTGGAGGCTCTCATATCTGTGGAACAGACTCTGCGGACGGATATCGCCTCTACAAATCTGCAGCACATATGGTCCGCCGAAGAGGTCACCTCCTTGATGACTCAGAGCGCCTACAATGCCACACGGGCGCTTTACCCTGGCTCTGATACAGCCGTCCTCGTCAGTATCAGGATTCCCGACGCCGGCAAACAGCTCAGCGAGTGCACCAACGTTTGCAAAGGCATGATTGCCATGGGGGCTGTGGTTGGTTTCCTTATGATTGTTACCTTCGTAACTGTGGTAACGTGTGTATGCTGTTTCCGTCGCTCGCCGAAACTGGAAGTGGGGTCGAATGAACCCTTAGAACAGAGCATATAGTCCGCTTTTGTGTTTCCATGCGGATCTATGTGTTCCTTTCTTTAATCATTTGATACGTTTGTCTGTTATACAAGGTTTACTCCAAGATTTTCTTCTTTTTTGGAACGCCATGGATTTGTGGCGTTATTTGTTAAGGATTTTCTGTGCAAATATGGAAACGCTTTTTTTATAGTTGAGGGGTTCCGCCACCGCTACGGTGCTTCCCCAAAGCCGTGTGATGCTTAGCGGCGTGTCCCAACCCGTACGCCTCCTTTTCTCTTTTCTGGTCGCAATGAAGAAGCCAAAAAAGGCAACTTTGCATTGTACCTCTGTTTAAGAGCTACAACGCGATGAAGCGCAACACAGTTTTTCTGGTTTCGGCAGTGGTGATGATGATGATGGTGACCATCGTGGTCCAGGCCACGGAGGCAAAAGCAGCCGCACCAAAAGAAACGGAGACGCAAACAGACAAGGCACAAGCAACGGAAGAACAGGGCCCCACGGAGCCATTGACGTCATCATCAGCGCACCTCGTCACGTTGAGCGGGACCGCGTGGGGTGGCCTTGTGGAGAAGAACAGCGCTCTGCTCAAACTGG